AAACAAAAAAAAAGATCAGCCTGAGCAAGAGTGAGATCTATCTCTACTAAAGTAAAAAAATTAGCTGGGGATTGTGGCAGGTGCCTATGGTTCCAGCTATTGGGGAGGCTGAGGCAGGAGGATTGCTTAAGCCCAGGAGTTTGAGGTTGCTGTGAGCTATGAGGGTACAGGACTCTACTGAGAGTGACAAAGTGACAAAACAAAACAAAAAATAATGAGTTGAAATCCCCAGGCTCTGTGGCCTGTCCTCTGGTGGCTTCTTCCCATGTCACTCTTGCATTGGACATGTGAACATGAAGTTCTCAGTAATCCCACAGTGTGTTCTTGGAAACAGCCTTTATGTAAAATGACTTTAAATGAAACAACCTTAAACAAAATGTGATTGGAGGACGTGCTGTACATTGTGAAGCTCAATGTCATGGTTCCCAGATCCTGCTGACAGTGTCCAGTCAGGGCTTCACTGTGTTTCTGTGGGTGTGTTATATCATAGGCCTCTCTAGTGAACTCCAACTAACCTAAGCTTTAATCAACTGAAATAATTAGTCATTATTATAGAAAAATAGACACTCAAAAGTGTAAATACCTATCATCTTACTACCCACTGATTACAATTTTAGAGTCTTTCCAAAGTGTTCCAGAGGGAATGTATGAAATTTTTATCTCACAGAAATGGGGTCCTATTATACATAACTTCCAGGTAGTGTTTTCCATTTAACATATGGCTGAGCTGCTTTCTAGACAGATACAGCCAGTATCACATTTGTTTAAGGACATGGGCTCCCATGTGAGACTGTCAGGGTGTTGGTCCTGCCTTCTCTTCTGGGGTGTAGGAGGTGCTGTTGGCTGGGTGGGCTGTCTGTGCAGACTTTGCTGGGCATAGCACCTGCCTCATGGTAGCCCTCAGCACATGTGGCCGCCTTCCCAGACTCTGATATGCCTCCCATAGGGGTCCCAAGATGAGAATTACTGCTACAAGTAGCCCTTGCTATGGAGGAGGATGTATTCTTCTCATTTGTACCCTTCTCATTTCCTTTGGAGCAGTAAAAGTACAAGGTATTTACGTCATTGCGTTTAATCTTTGCACAGCTTTTCAGTGTGTGAATATGCCATAATTAGGTAGCCCCATGTTGTTGGGTAATAAGTAGGTAATTTCCTACTTATTACAATATGTGCTGGAATGAGCTGTGCATGTCTTTGAAAGGGAAAAGAGTATGGTGAACCAAAGAGAAGTTCATGTGAGGTGTGATAGGGTTGTCAAGTAAGGAAACAGAATTATGAGATGTTACTTATCCAAGTAAAGATGTCCTTCCTTTCATCATGGTGCAAAGTTATTTCAACACTATTTGAGTTAATTTTGGACACTTATTTTTAGAGTTGTCTTAGAATTTTTCTTATTTTTTAACACAAGATTCAGAGAAGATTTATATTTTTTGATATCAAAGTATAATACTTCCAAAATATTTGATTAAGCAATTGAGTGTTGAGAAGGACTATAAAGAAAAGTGACTTGGTGCAGCCTCTTCAGTCTCAGGCTGTTCCCTGGGGGCAAACACACTTTTGTTTCTTCTTTCTTTTTTTTTGAGATAGTCTCACTCTGTCGCTCACTCGCTCGTAGAGTGCTGTGCTGTCTTAGCTCACAGCAACCTCTGATTCGGGCTTGCGCGATCCTCTCCCCTCAGTTTCTCTCTTTTTGGTGGAGAAAGGGTCTCACTCTTGCTCCATCTGAGCAGTCCCTCAGTCTGTCCTCGGTCTATGACCTTGCTGCTCCTGAGGATCACACGCTGGCTGCTCTGTGGAAGGTGTCCTGGAGTCGGGCCACTCTGGAAGGCGGGCAGAGCTGGGTCTTCCATAGCGTGCAGCATCTTTTCTTGTGCTCATTTGCATCTGTGCATCTTCTTGGATGACTTGCCTTTTTAGGGCTTTTTGCTCATTTTTAACAGGGCAAATTTCCTCTTACTATTGAGTTTTAAGAGTCCTTTGTGTATTTTGGATAAGTCTTTTTTCAGATACGTCTTTTGCAAATATCACTTCCCATCTGTGGCTTATCTTCTCACTCCCTTGAGAGTATTGTTCACAGAGCAGGAGTGTTTTCTCTTTGTTTGTTTGGGTTTTTCTGAAATGAGGACTCCCTCTTTCACCCACAATAGAGAGCTGTGGCATGATCACAGCTCACAACCACCTCAGACTCCTGGCTTCAAACGATCCTCCTGCTTCAGCCTCTGGAGTAGCAGGGACCACAGGCCGACACAGCTGGTTATTTTTTATAGAGACAGAGCTCACCATCTTGCCCAGGCTGGTGTCAGCTCCTGGCCAAAGCAATCCTCCTATTTCAGCCTCCTGAAGTTCTGGGTTTACACTGTGGGCCACTGTGCCTGGACAGAAATTTTTTATTTTAATGGAGTTCACCTTGTCAGTTACTTCTTCCATAGGTTGCAACGCCTTTGGTCTTTTGTCTAAAAAACCATCACCATATCCAAGGTAATCTAGATTTGCTGCTGTGTTACCTTTCAGGAGTTTTATAGTGTTGCATTTTACATTTAGGTCTGTGATTTATTTGAGGGGATTTTTGTGAAGGATGTAAGGTCTGGAGGTTGCTGTGAGCTGTGATGCCACAGCACTCTACTGAGGGCAATAAAGTGAGACTCTGTCTCTAAAAAATAAATAAATAAAAATTTAATTCCCTCAAGTAAGGTTTAATACAAAATCCTAATAATAATAATTTTATGTATTAAAATTTTATAATAGTATTTGTTTTTATTATATTCTTTTTTGTCCTTTTTTAATCTATTAATATAGTACTATTTTTAAGGTAGTTTCCTTATACTGTTTTTATTTTGCAGATAGAGATTCACCAAAAGATGTATCTGAAAAGAAACAGCATCACAGCTCTTTAAAAGATGTAAATAAGGTTGTATTTTTAAAGTATTCCTTAAATACAAAGTTTGTATGGTATTAATTTTAGAATATTCTCTTTTGAAAGCCATTAGAGGGCAGCGCCTGTGGCTCAAAGGAGTAGGGCACCGACCCCATATGCCAGAGGTGGTGGGTTCAAACCCAGCCCTGGCCAAAAAACTGCACACACACAAAAAAAAAAAGCCATTAGGAACCATAGGATTCTATTGGGAACAATGAACAGAAAATATATTTTCTTTTTTTCTTTCTTTCTTTCTTTTTTTTTTTTTTGTTGTAGTTGTCATTGTTGTTTGGCGGGCCTAGGCTGGATTCGAATCCACTAGCTTTGGTGTACATGGCCAGTGCCTTAGCCACTTGAGCTACAGGCACTGAGCCAGAAAATATATTTTCTATTCAGAAATGCTTGGCTATTGTAGTTTTTTCATGAAGAGATATTGTTTGCGTGTCTGCTTATTTTGAAAGAACAAGGTAACTCCAGCTCATCTTGTGCCATGTTCTTGTTCTCAGCCCAGCGGCCTTCCTAAAAAATTGAGTATTTATCTCATTTTAACAAAAGTGTGAATATCTGGGATCTGGGGACATTCTAATGGGAAGTCTAACTTTCCCTTCAGGCCCTTTGACAAAACAGATGAAAAATAACTGCAGAACATTTTACTGATTATCTGAAGGGCTGGGCATAGTGGCTGTAATCTAACACTTTGGGAGGCCAGGAATTTGAGACCAGCTGAGGTAATATAGTAAGACCTCAACTCTACTAAAATTAGCCAGGTGTGGGGGCTCATTCTTACAGTCTCAGCTCCTCTGGAGGCTGAAATAGGAGGCTCCTTTGAGCCCAGGAGTTTGAGGTTGCTGTGAACTGCAGTTGCACCACTGCACTCCAGCCTGGGCGACAGAGAGAGATCCCGTTTCTAAATAGATGCGTCCATCTATATATACTGATGATCTGAAATGCCAGCTGCCTGCTGTGTGGACGTGTCAGTCTCGGGTTATAGCAGCAGCGTAATTGCCCAGCTTTCCAGTGCTTTGCCCTTCTATATCTGTGTGTACACGAAAACTAACTATAGTGGTTGTTTATGAGAATAATTCTCTTGGAATTTTGGTTCCAAAGGAATATATATCTTTCTGAAAAATGCTCTTTTTTTTTTTTACAGTGTGTTGAATCTTCTGCATACTGGCCAATAAAAAGAGGCATAACCATATATGCTGATCCAGATGTCCCAGCAGCAGGGTATGGTGCGAGAATTTAGGTTTAAGTGTCATTTTGTCTTAATGCAGTGCTCTGTAACATCAAGGATGGGAAAGTACTCTGTTTCTAAAAAGAGTGGCCCAGGAAGTTTTTGATTAAAGATATGTTAATTTAAAGATAGGTAAATGTAATTGTACTGGTTAGCAGCACAGTTGCCTGAAAACTAGCAGAGGCTCTAGAGTCTCCTTTTTACCTTGCTGGGCAAAATTGCTGTATAAGGCAGGTGCGGCAGAGGATGGCACAGAGTGATCTTGATATGTAGAATGGCCTGATGGGGACCAGACGGCAACAGGAGGGGACCAGGTACAAGTGGGTGGAAAGCAAAGAATGGTTTGCTGTCTTCTCAGAGATGAATATCAAAGGTTTTGACTTTATCCTCTTTAAAATACGTGTCAGTGACACTAATGGACTCATAGAAAGGACGCCATATTATACCACTTTGTGTAAAGTGTAAAAACTAAAAATAGTGAATTTTCATTTTTCTACCTATGAACTTAATGGTTTTATTGTCATATATCTTAATTTTACGTATATTTAATGTTAGAATCTATTAGCAACTTTTGCTTATCTTTTAGAGAGATTTAATTGAGAAGGAAAATCTATCTTCCCCTGTGTGGTTGCATTTGTGCTTGTCACTTTCTGTGCGGATCCACATTTCAGTCTGATCCGTTTTCCTTCTACCTGAGTACTTCTTTCAGTATTTCTTCTATTGTGAGCCTCCTGCTGATCAACCGTTTTAGTTTTTACAAAAATTTGAAAATTTCTTTTAGCTTCAACTTTGAAAACATTATTTTGCTAGGTATAGAATTCTGGGTTGGCAGTGCTTCTCCCTCTGTGTTTTAAAGATTTACCCCTGTCTTCTTGCTTGCCTTGTTCCCAGGCTTTCATCTTCCTCTTTGTTCCCTTGTTACTGGTTTGAGCAGTTTGATTAATGCAGGGCCGTGGTGTGGTCTCTACCAGCGCAGGGCCGTGGTGTGGTCTCCGTCAGCGCAGGGCCGTGGTGTGGTCTCCGTCAGCGCAGGGCCGTGGTGTGGTCTCCGTCA